TTTACCAACTCTCATGATTACCTGTTTTTGTTTTACTATCACTGCTCTACTACCAAATATTATATTTGAAAAGAAAAATATTTTGGGTAAATAAACACATTTTTCAATATATTACTTACCCAAAACTAGAGTTTTAAAAAGACGTCTTTTGAATATTCAAAATGCATCGAAAATATTCAAAAGATGTTTAAAAGACGTCTTTCCTCACTGAGTCCCGTGCCTACTTGATACCCAGCGGGCACGGGACCTAAAAAAGACGTATTTTGAACGTTCAAAACGCTCCAAAGACGTTTAAAAGACCTCTTTTGTATGTCCCGTGCCCTTTGGGTTAAACATGCAATCGTTAAATTCAAAACAATAAAAAATTCAAAAAAAAAAGAAAAATAATTCAACCAATGCAAAAACTATAAAAAAAATATTTATTTTAATATAAGGAACTTGAAGATTATAAAAGTGGTTTTTATTTTAATATTTTTCATTATAAATAAGCAAACATTTACGCTAATCGACAACATTAACTTTTGCACAGTGTCTTTGATAATTGTTTTTACCTACTAATGTCCACTCTCTAATCAAATCTTTAGCTGTATTTATTGTTTTCCAAGTCTTACACAAATATCTTGTGTCGATTCCCCTACATTTTTAATAAGATTGAACTGTGTGCAGATTGATGGATTCAAGCTTTTTGGTATGAATTTGATTGCTCTCAAACTGTACCACTTTTCTTAGAATAATGACAAGAAGCAAGATTAGGCCAGAATCAACAGGGAACATCGTGACTTCGATAAAATTGCAAAAGTCTAGCTTGCATCTTTGATGTAAATATCCGAGTTTAAAGTTGATGATAAGACAAAAGCTCGAGATCTCAAACCACAGCTTTTGGGTCGTTCTCTGTTTGATAAGCCGGGATTTTGCGTGAATGATCTTCGAATAGTAATTGCTGCTTTCTTATCCTTAATGCCACTCTTTCTTTCAAATTTTTTTGCTCGTTTGATAGATAGAGAACTTTTGTATTATGTATTATTATTGTTTTATGACCATATAAACAGTTGTTTTGCTAGATTCAGATCCTTTATTGATTGAAAGTAACGATGCAGAAGGATTTTGTAGATAGTTGTGCAGAATGTTTTTAGTTTTTCGGCTTCGATGACATTTTAATTAAGAGAAAAATTTTGACTTATTTGTTAATGTTTTTAATTAATACTGTAACTACTTAATGTAATTACGCGGAAAAAAAATTTAGTAATGTGTTAGTGACAAGTTTTAAAACAAAGTTAATCGTTCCAAGTTTAACGATCTTATGCTTTAGTATAATTTAAAAGATAAGAATAACCTTTAATCATTAAATCGCGCATCAAATATTTAAAATTATATTATCACTATAAAAATACAATATAAAGCAATTTATGCAATATTATAATGTTTTCATAAATAACTTGCTTTTTTTAATAAAGTATATTAGGAAATACTATTAAAAGATAGTATTTTGTTGAGCACAAAATTGTTAAATTACTCATTTCTATTACGCTTTAGCAAGACCGTAACTGTAAGAAAAAATATTAAAAAATAAATAAAAACTCAATAAATAATTCATTTAACAAATCAGGTAAACAATAAATGAACAAAGTTTGTCTACAGTAAAAATAAAAATACATTTTATTCATTGAAAAAAAAACACGAGAGCCGCTCGATTTTTGCGGCTCCGGCTCCACCAAAAAACAGTGGCTCCCTGGCTCCGGCTCGGCTCCACAAGCCTGATAACAGCATTTCTTTTTTAATTTTAAAATTTATACTTTCTACTCTTATAGGTTGTGTTCGTATTGCTGTCAATCCTTTTTCCATAACTTCATTTAATTGTACACTAATTGTTTTGACATTATTACCACATTCGTTGCTTGAAAAAGCCTGGTTCAACTGAAAACAACAATCACTACACAATTCTGCTGCTGTTATTATATACGCCGAGTTTAAACTCTTTATCAGGTCTATCATTTCGTTTTTACTTTCATGCAAAAAACGTTGGAAAATAAAAAAAAAATATTTTTTGGTTCATATTTAGACCTTACAACACTCTTAGGTAGCAACTTAGTCCATAGCAACCATAAAATAAAGTTTATTCTCTATTTTTCTCTCATGTGCTTTTGAATTTTACTCTGAACATCCACAAAGGTGTACCAGCTACGTCTTCAGCGCTCTTAATATCATAGTTTGATGTCACAAACACTACTGAGATAGGTAAATAAGCTAAAGAGTTGTTATAGTTCTGTTGTACATTTTATACTTTATCTTATTTAAATTTATTCTTAGAAATTATAGAGAACTGCGCGTCTTTAAATTTAGATTGTTTTGATTATTAATACAAAGGAGGTTCGTAAAGATGTTAATAAAAATAAGAATATAAAAAACACCTTAATAAATAAAAAACTTTCTTGGATCAAAAAAAATCCGTTTGAGCATAATAAATTTTGCTCTCGAGATACCAACAGTTGGTGCAAGTACTGGTCGAAGGGCTAAAATAAATACAAACCCTCCATTACAATATTTTTTTGGATAAATAAACTTCTACTTGTGTTTAAGGATTTAATGGATGAGAATTTGTTAAATAAATGTTTACTTGGAAAAACCCAGAACGTTTTTTCTAATTTTCTAAAATTACTATAAAAGTTATTTGTTTTTCGTAGCAACTAGAAGACATTATTTTGTCTTATCACCGAGCCCCAATCGTACGTATTTACAATAACCGTATAATATATTTATACTTTACAAAATATTTATTGAAAATTATAAATGTAAAAACAAATAACAATTAGTTCAAGAAATACTTCAAGAACAATATTCATGTTATTGGGTTAGTTCAAAACCCACTATTATCGCAGTTTAGTATTTAGGCAGATCTATTCATAATGTCACATTTTTCCAATGCAGTCTTAACTAATGAAAACCAAGCATCAATTACAGTTTTATTACAAGCTAAGGCTCTTGTTAATGTCAAAAGCTCTGGAGTTTTTATAGATATTTCTTTCTGCCAACGATTTAAAAAATTACAAAACCACTGATGACCAGCAAAACCATTCACATATTTTTTCTAAAATCCGTTTATTTCAATATGCATTTGAACAAGTTTCATAAATTGTTTTTTTATCTAATCCAAATTCAAAATCAGAAAATGCAGATAAAAGTGAAACAAGATCTTTTTCAGCATCAGAAGATAATCGGTTTGACCGCCCTTCACCAACTTTTGAGCATTTTATGCCTAGAAGATGTCTTGCAATTGTACTTCTTGGAACACCATATTTTGCAGCATAGGAAGACATTTCTTTGTTTTTAACTTTTGAAATAGCATTTTG